ATAAGCTTGTATACACACACATATATATGTATACACACACACATATATATAATAAAATATATGGAACAATTCCTAAAAAACTAGTAACTATGATTGTCTTAGGGAGGGAACTGGGTGACTCGGGAGTGACAGTAGGAGAAGACTTAGTTTTTATTACTGTGTGTGTGTATGTTACCTATTCAAAACAGTTATTAAACAAAGAAAGGAGTAGACTGAATGTGATAGGCTTCAAGGTTAGGTAGCCTAAGTATTGGCCTTCAGCTGCCCAATCTGGACATTCCAGGCAGCTGCCTGTCTAAAATGTGGGCCTCAGCCTTCAACTCTTTTTCCTTTGAAGAAGACAAACACCGAAGTTCTTCACAACAGGACTACTTTTCTGCTGTTACTACCTAAAGAATTTGATTCACAGACTCAGGGCAAAAATTAGCTAAGCTTTTTAGCTGAATATGGTACTGGAGATTACACAACCCTGTGGCTCAGAATCTTACTTTCCCAGTAGCGCTCATGGGACTCTTCAGTATACTTCCTGTTAATAGGAATACAATTCTTTGGTTTGGTTTTATAACTGTAGCTATGCATGATGAAATATGCTGTAGAGCTGTATATTTGAAAGTATTCTGCATCAAGTAAGTGTCTTTTGAACTAATTAGGCATAGTGTTTTAAGAGTGATTAGAATTTGCCCTCCTTTCATTTAACAGGCTACAATCCATGTCTTCTAAACTATCAACATCAGCAACATTAGGCACAGGTTATAATGAACTTTACTGGTTGCATCTCTCTCAAAAGGCAGGTGAAATCTTTAGTTTATATTGTTGGATTATTCTGAGTACCATAGTATTCTACTGAAGTAAATGTTCACCAAATTTGTCATTTTCCAGCCCTGGTGACATTAATATTTAGTTGCAGGGTTGAAGCTGGGAAGAGAGGGTGAGCTTCCCAGAGACTCTGCTGTCAATGCCAAGGTGCTAATCGTATTACACGCCTTCTTGAAAAACGTTCAGTGACTCTTCGTTGTCTACTGAGTGAAGTCTAAATTTTTTTAGAATGACATTTCAAAGCCCTTCATGACCTTTCTGGCTTCATTTTTCTGCTTCATATACCCTTCCTTCCCACAAAATCTGGGCATTCATTGTTCCCTTACTGTGTGCTGAACTCTTCCATGGTCCTGCCTTTGTGCATACTAGTCCATCTACTGAAAATTCCCTTTATCCTTTGTCTCTACCTGTTCAACTTCAGTTTATCCTTCCAAGTCCCAGTCACATTGTTTCCTTTTCCATGCAAGTTTGATCCTGCTCAGCCAAAATTAACCCTCTCAAACTCCATTTCACTTTGTGCTTCTCTGAGGACACTTATTGCATTCTCTTTTAATTTTGTTTGTATATGGCAGATTTTATCTCTCACAGGAAACGTAACTGCTCCTTGAAAGCTGGGGTCTAGTTTTAGCCATCACTCTAATCCCTACAGCATCCAACCATATAGGTTCATTAGTAGGAGCCCAATTTGTGTTCATTGAGTGAATTAAGTGTCAGCCAGCATCTTGAAACTGTCTTCATTTTGCTGTAGCTTTTCAACACAGATAATCATTTGAGCAGGCTGTTATCTGTAAGGGCTATAGAATAAACTGCTATGAAACAAAAAAACATTTCACCCCATGTTGATATAGTTGGAAAGTTTATGGTCTGAGAAAATCTGTAACTTTTAAACCTCAGAGGGCAGGTGTATTAACAAACTACAGAATTTTCAAATAAATGAAGAATTCCATTACCTCACTATTGCTGTTGATGAATTGGTCTCTGACGACACTTATGCATCAAAACACACAGTGTCTTTTCAGGTGAGAGGCTGACATGAGTGTGATTTGATTAACTCTTAGAAAACTTATGAAAAAGGACTGTTGAACTTTCCCCAGTTTGTTTCTGCTTTGGAATATGCCCTGTATCATATAAAGTAGCCAAATCTTTTTCCCTGACTTATTTCATTATTGTCCAAAGTGTTGTATCTTATACTCTAACTGGGTTCAGAGATTACAAATTTAGAATGACAGCATCAGCAAATCCCCAGGTTGGAAGGACATTAGTGACCATGTAGTCAGCCTTCTGTCATATAGTTGAGTTCCCACCAAGCACTTATTTACCTTTCAGTAATTGGCAGCTTCTACTTTTTGGGGTCATCCATTCCATCATTTGACTCTTTAGACACCTGCCTGTTAGAAAGTTTTTGCTTTTGTTGTTCAATATTGAGTAAATCTCCCTCTATGGCCTACCTACTGGGTCTAATTCTAACTCTTGGATACACAATCTAGTCATTTTTCTACAATATTTAAAGTAACTTTTGTTTTTCTTGGGATTATCTCTGTTCTGTCAGCTCTTCCTCTTGTCTCTCAAAATATAATGTTCAAAATTAAGGACAGCATTCCAAGTAGAGTTTAATCTGTGCTGAGTAGAATAAAATTCTCACTTTGCACATTAAGATGTATTTCTGTTACTATATCTAAAATCACATTAACTTTTTGGGGTAACCTCATCATTATCTTGACTCCTGTAGAGCATATACTGCCCACTTCAGCCTGTAAGTCTTTTTCACACATAGGTAGGCATGCCTCATCTATCCTTACCTCCATAGTTGTTCTTTAGGCCCCAAGTGCAGGACCCTAAATTTTTCTCTTTTCAAATTCATCTTGTTAGATTCAGCCCATTGAAACAGCCTGTTGAAGTATTTTTGGGTCATGGTTGTGTGTCGTCTAGTACATTTGTTTTCCTGTCCAACTTCTTGTCATCTGCAAATATATGTTTCTTTTCTCCTCTAAGTCATTAACAGATGTTGAGGCAGGCTAGGCTGGAATCCTTCCATTGTATCATGCTGTTATTGCTAGTAGATTTGAATGAGCAGGATTAATTGTGTATGGAGATTGTAAAAATGGCGTGGCTGTGCGTCGGCTGCGGCGTCTTACTGCCTCTAATGTCAGGAGGGAGAAGGAGAATTAAGATCAACAGCCCAAGGCTGATTCCTGTGAGGCGAAGGTCAGACTTGCCTCCTCTCTCCGCCATCTTTACCAGTTCTGACACCAACTGTCCCTTCCACGGCACTCTCTACTTCTTTGCTGAGTTTGATAATTCATTGCAGTGGCCACACAGAACTCACAGACCATACTCATAGTTATGGGGTTTATTAGGGAAGTAACAGGCTGCAGTTGAGATTCAGGAACACTTAGGATACAGTTCTTTTATCAGGACAGCCTCTTCTCAGCCGTGCCCACAGGCAGGTCTCTCTCTGGCCCCTTGGTCTCTGCCCTGCTGGGGGCGAGTGTTACAAAGCTCTTTTAGTTCTGCCGTTAAGTGCCCAGAGGCACCCTACTCCACCAGGAATACTCCTGCCCAAAGGCACTCAGCTTTCTCACTCCGTGGGCCAGGAAGCCCACTGTGCCATCTCCTGCCGGTCTCTCTCCTGCTGCCATTTCTCTGCCACCGCGTCTCTCCGTCTTCAGTGTTACAGTTGTCTCGCTCTTGCACTCTTTCTCTCTGTCTCAGTCTTCTGGTTCCAGGAGCTTCTCAGTGTAAGGACCTTGGGTCCAAAGGATGTGCTCAGCTCTTGGCCCTTCCTCCTTGGTGGTGGTGAGATCCTTCTTCTGCTCTGTAATTGGCTCTCTTTTAAGCCTAGTGGGATGGCAAAACTGGCCAGTCCTCTCAGTGGGCCACATTTACCTTGTTTGCACAGTCCCACTCAATCACTTGGGTGGGAGTTACAAGACCATGGCGAGAAAAGCCAAAAAAAGTGATCCCTCACACCACAGAGATTGAATTGACAGTTTAGACTGAATATTCCATAATTATAGCAGGAACTGTCTTTTAGGTAAGTAGTCGTATGGTAGCTGCTTAATAACTATTTAATGAAAGGTAATAGAAATAAATGTGATTACAAGAATGAGATTAGGAATTAGCTTGAAAAGTTGGTGACCCTGTTTATGTTTTTACCATATGTAAGGTCTTAAGCAGAGAGCTCTCTGGACTCATGAAAGGGAATGTGGTATAGGAGAAGGAGCCTAAACTTGGCCCTGGGATGTTTATTCAGCAGATACCTATATCTATCTATCTGTCTGTCTATCTATATATAGATATAGTACCTACTGTGCTTAAACCCTGGAGATAACAATAGTTTAAAAAAAAGACTTGACCTTTGCCTTCAGTGGAGCTTATATTCTAGTGGGGCTAACAATTCGGTAATTACATATAATCATAATATTTTCTATGATGTATATTCTGGGCCAGTGCTGTCCAATAGAAATATAATACAAGTCACATGTATAATTCAAAAATTTCTAGTAGTTACATTTAAAAAGTAAAAATAAAAAACTAGATGAGATTAATTTTAATGTTTTATTTAACCCAATAATTCCAAAATATTATTTCAGCATGTAAGCAATATAAAAAAACTTAGTAAGAAATTTTATGTTCTTTTTCTTGAACTAAATCTTTAAAATCTGGTGTGTATTTTACACTGAACACCACATCTTAATTTGGACTAGCACATTTAAGGTGCTCAGTAGCCACATGCGACTAGTGGCTGCCGTATCGGACAGTGCCATTTTATATTCAGCTTTACAGACTACTCTGTGGTGTTGGGCAAGTTATTTTCCTTGTTGAGGACTCCTATTTTCATCAATAAAATGAAGAGTTTAGACTTGCTTATCTTCTAACAACTAAATGTGATCTCTTGCAAGTATGAGGGAGGCTTCTGAGGTGCTCTAGTCTATATCATGATCTGGGTGGTAGTTACATGGGTGTATGTAAAAATTCATCCAGCTGTAGACTTAAGATTCATGTACTTTTACAGTATGTGTGTTACACTTCAGTGAAATTTTGTTTTTTAAATGAGGCCTCTTCCAGTTTCTGGATTCTGTGGCCTATACTGAATCACTCTTAGATGAGCAGACCTTCAGTGGAAATACGTGATGTGAAAAATGCAAACAACCAGTGACTCTTTCTATCTTTTTCCCACCCAGGATGTGTCTAGTTCGAATGAAGCAGGAAGGCCGGAGTGGGAAATACATGTGTCGTATCATAGTTCATTTTATGTGGGAGGATGTTGAGCAGCGTGGCAAAGTCATGGGGGTAAGTGAGTGCTATCAGATTCTTCTCCTGGGAAACTGATGAGGGATTGCCTGACTCAGATTGGGGGTTTATCCATTCTAGAATGTCCTTGCTTTTAGAGTTCTGTGAAAAGCTGCCTAATGTCAAGTGACAGTTCAGCTAGAGTCACTTCTTCTGCCTCTATGGAGACTGACAGAGTACGGATCCTTTATTTCTGTGTTCACACACATTATCGTGGTTTGTCAGTGTGAGGGAACTGTATCTAGAGGTGGGATTATAAAGCCTAAATCATGGTGACAGGAGGGATGAATTTGGTGTTTGGAGGGAATCAACTAATTATCCCGCTTAAGTACACTGTTTTTGACGCAGATTCAATATTTGAACCAGTCCTCCTCTAAATTGGTTCTAGTGGAAACACCCTGGTATAGGGCCTGCACTATTGTTAGAAACTGAAAAACAAGCTCGTGTGGTAGTACATCCATAAATAACTTGAAAAGGGGGAATATATAGTATATATATGTCACTTGGAAAGTGATGACAATAGAAAAACAAAACCAAAACATTAGAATGCAGTTGGTTATATAAATAGTAGTCTATTCTTTTGTGTAGTTGTGTGTCAAGACCATGTGTAGCAGACTGTAGTTCCTTGTTATTTCCCATTTCATTGCCTCCCAGTTTGGGAGCATACAAAGCAGAACCATCAAATTGGGTCATAAGATGAATTAATTTGGTTTCTTTCATTACAGAGCAAAGTTTTTCCTGTAAATTGAGAAGAAAAGTTGTGTATATGTATTATAAAAGTCATACACCCTCATGGAATAAAAATTAAATAACAAGAAACATCTAACGTAAAAAAACAAGTGCCTTTTTCCCAGTCCAATTCCCCAGAAGTAACCATTGTTAAGAATTGATGTTGATGTGTATCCTTTAGTTGTTTTTTGTACAAATACAAGTTTATAAATGTATATTCTTTTAACATAACACAAATGAGCTCATACTATATACACTGTTCTACATCATGGCTTTTTTCGCTTAATATATATTAGGTTTTTTTTTTTTTTTAACTTTACAATTTTTTAAAAATTCAGAATGTTTTAACTAAGGCTGAAGTTCCTTTACAATCTCTGGCTAATTATCTCTTTCCAGGAAGTAACCATTGTTTCCAGTTTGGTGTATATCTTTTAAGACTTTTTCCTGTGTTATCTATAGAACTATGTAGTATTGTTTTTGTGTTTTAATATATATGATATCATTTCTATGTACGGATATGCAGCTTTCTTTTTTTCACTCAATGATATGTCTTGGAGATCTTCTGGTACTGCATGGGAGTTAAATGGGATATCTTCAACAGTGTTTTACTTTTATTCTAGTTACTTTCACATGTTATTGTCTGTTGGTATTGTGTGCTTACTGTATGTGTAAAATTGTAATCTTTGAGAGACTATACCATGGAGATGCTGATTGCCTACTGGGAACCTGGGTTGAGGATATTTTCAAAGTCTCGTATCTTTGGAGGGACTACGTACATAGGAAGCAAGTGGACATATGTTTACCTCTGGATAGCTTTGTTAACATTTATATGCCTTTCCCTGGGACAATGGACTGTTGGCATTTCTATTCATTCTAAGATGATAGCATGTATCAAATTTTAGCTGTTATTACTTTCTGTTTTGCAGATAATATTCAACTCTCTTTGTAATTATCCTCTTGGTTCCTTTTTCATTTTCATCACTGTCCTGCCTTCCTGTTGTCCTGGCTGCCCAGAGTGGGATCAGCAGCCTTGCTATTACACTTTAAGCTGTTCATCCAGCTGAGTGTCCCACTTGCCCATAAGCCTCAATTCTGCAGCAGCACACAGTGGACATAGGGTGGTATTGGCATTCTCAAATCATCCCATTTAATGATGACCAGCCAAAGCCTTGGCTGATTGCCAGGCAGCTATGCAGTAGCTCTTCTATTTGCAAGTTTGTTTTTCTTATCACTGTTGACTATACTCTGCTGGAAGTTGGGCCACTAGAGCCATGTGGACCCCAGCTGTCCCCCTCCTGAATAATTTAATGAGCCATAGGTAGCTGACTCCTGGACCACAGGAACCTTTCAGTTGCCTTCCTCCCCCCTTGCTCCAAATGAATTTCTTTGAGACCTACAATCCATCATAAGAGTCATCACTTTTAGCCTTTTCTATATTACTTCATATGTAATTTTCTCTTCTACTTGACTATAAGCTTTATAAAGGCAGGAACCCTGTCTTATTTACAGTTCTTTGCTTATACAGTAAACATTGAATGAATAAATACTTGTTGAATGAATGAATACATTGAACTTCAGCCTCTGGATTTCTGTTTTAAAGCTATCTTATGTATCAGATAAATCATACCTGATTTATCATTCTCTGTCTGGTCCAGGTGTTTATCAGTGTAGGCAATCCTGTAAGAATTAGTCTTTCCTTTTTTTTTTCCCTCTTCCCCATTTTATATAGCCAGTTTTTCTGTCTGGATTGTGCTAGGTATGTTGCTGCCCTATGAGTAAATGTTTTAGATCAGTGCTTCTCAAACTTTAATGTGCCTATAGTTCACCTGGGGATGAGGTCAGATAGTCTACATTTCTAAGAAGCTTCTAGGTGGATGCTGATGCCGCTTGTGCGATGACGGGAGGAGGGGACCACACTTTGAATAGCAAGGTTTTAGGTCATCCATATGCTCCCCAAGACAGGCTCTTAAATTTGCCTTGATGAAGACAAATGCCAAGCTCCCATTTAGTTACAAAGACTATAAATAAAAGATGATTTAAAAATGCTAGAGATTTGAATGAGTTGAGAATTACTTTTTTTTGGTTTATAGTTGTAGTTTAAGTGAAAGTTTACATTTCAAGTTAGTCTCTTATACAAAAATTTATACATACATTGTTATGTGACCCTAATTGCTCTCCCTATACTGTGACAGCACATTCCTCCTTTTCACCCGATTTCCCACGTCCATTCAACCAGCTCCTAACCCTCTCTGGTTTCTCATGTCACCTCCAGACATAAGCTGCCCATTTAGTCTCATGTATCTACTTGAGCTAAGAAGCACACTCTTCATGAGTATCATTTTATGTCCCATGATCCAGTCCAATCCCTGTGTGAAGAGTTGGCCTCGGAAATTGTTTTAGTTCTGGGCTGATAGAGAATCCGGGGCCATGCTTTCCAGGGTCCCTCCAGTCTCAGTCAGACCATTAAGTCTGGTCTTCTTACTAGAATTTGAGTTCTGCACCCCACCTTTCTCCTGCTCCATCCGGGACTCTCTGTTGTATTCCCTGTCAGGGTGGTCATTGGTGGTAGCCGGGCACCGTCTAGTTCTTCTCGTCTCCGGCTGATGAAGTCTCTGGTTTATGTGGCCCTTTCTGTCTCTTGGGCTAATACTTTCCTTGTGTCTTTGATGTTCTTCATTATCCTTTACTGCAGGTGGTTGGGACCAATTGGTGCATCTTAGATGACCACTTGCAAGCTTTTAAGACCCTAGCTGCTACTCACCAAAGTAGGATGCAGAACATTTTCTTAATAAGCTTTGTTATGCCAGTTGACCTAGATGTCACCTGAAAGCATAGTCCCCAGATGCCCACCCCTGCTACTCTGTCCCTCGAAGTGTTTGATTCTATTCAAGAAACTTCTTAGCTTTGGTTTAGTCCAGTTGTGCTGACTTCCCCTGTAGTATGTGCTGTCCTTCCCTTCACCTAAGATAATTCTTGTCTACTATCTAGTTGGTGAATAACCTTCACCCTACCCACCCTTGTAACCATCAAAGAATGTTTTCTTCTCTGTTTAAACCTTTTCTTGAGTTCTTATAATAGTGGTCTTATGCAATATTTGTCCTTCTGTAACTGACTGAATTCACTCAGCATAATGCTCTCCAGATTCCTCTATGTTATGAGATGTGAGAATTAATATTATTGCTTTTCTACTATAATTGATCCACTTTCCCCTTTCCAGTCCCATGGTATAAACCGACACTTTTTATACAAGGCAAGAAAATTGTATATTAATCAATTCTAAGTTGTCTGTAGAGAGCGTCTCAGTCTTCTGTGTACAACCTAAAGAAATGGGAAAGTTAGGAACGTGTGCCTTGAGAGGAGTCGTGGGCAGTCTGGAACCTGTCTGGCCTGGTTCTCACTCTGGCTGGCAGGTCTTCCTTCCTCTGTTCTTCAGTTTCTCCGTTTGATTTCCACGTTTCTTTCGTGCTTTGAGAACCTGATTGGAAGGTGATAATTTGCAAATCTATCTCTGTATTATTTGGCATCCCAGGTGTACCTCTTTAAGAAAACTCATATAAAAAAGTAGAACTTACAAAGCTGATCAATGTAGTGGTGATTTTTCTTGTGCCAAAGAATTCTTAGAGGCCGTAACTTTTCTTGAGTGGATTGGTGTGGGGTAAGATCGAGACTGAACGAGCCACTTGTGAATTGATGATGAATCAAATTTGAATCAAGAACTCCTTTGAAATTAGAATTCTAGTCTCATTTGATGGGGAAATTTTCGTTTTAAAAAAATTTTCTTTTTACCAGCCTTTTAGGAACCCAACTATTGTGAAAAATTGGGTAGATTCATATGTCATCAGTAAAGCTGGCACAAAAAATAAGGGTTAAATTTAAGGTTACAAAAATCACATCAATAATTTGAGTGTTCTGACTTAAAAAAAAAAGCACATTATTTGGGATTTAAACATATAAATTAGCAGTGGAAGTAAAGTTCATTATATCACCTCATCTAGTCTTATTTTATTTCATTTACTGGTTCTTAAAAACCTTTGTGAGCTGAGTCTCAGCCGAAGAGGTTGGAGACCATTTTTCCTTGGGCCCTTGCCGCACTCATGAGTGTTGGTAAGAGTAGAGAACTAAGACTTGACACAGCTGTAAAAACAGACAGCTCCTCTGGCCTCAGCACTTTCTCCTGGTGCAGGCAAATTTCAGATGTAAATTTCACTCTGCCTCTCCTACTAATGAAGTAAGTTTCTTTTGCTGGGTTTGCAGCCAGGTGTGTCCAGTCT